TCATATTTAGTACATCAAAATTGTAGACTACTGCGAATTATTGTATATTACTTTGGCATTTGGTGAATTTATGGTGATAACTGCTACATCGCCAACGGTTTTGTATTTAAAATATTTCTTATTTGCTTCAGTTGCTAGTGTTCTCGTTGATTGTTGCAAACCTACACATAAAAATATGAGAAATAAGTAATTAAATATAATATAAAATAATGAAATAAGATATAAGATAATTTCATTATAATAAAAGAGAGAATGTCATCTAATAAATTTTTTTAACTTTAAAATAATAATTTTTGTGATGTTTATCATAAACTATATTCCTCTAATTTTTCTATTTTGAGATATATAATTTACATTATTTATATTGTAATAAAGTCTCATAATTATATTATCCTGCAGTCACTTATTTGAATATCTACGAAAATAAATATTTATATAAAACTACATAAATGCATATATATCTCATTATATTTTAACTAATTAATATGTTGAATATGGATTTTAACAATGTTGGACAGTTCATTCATGATAATTTAAAAACATTTCAATCTGGAAATTCATTTACATTCAATACATATAATCTGATCAACTGCTGATTCCAATAACAGTTTAATATACTTTTTTAAACATGTTTATTATAAATATTTTCTTTTAATTATATTTTTTATATTTTTGGCTATTTAATCTTTAAATCAATATTGCTTTTATTTCAAAGGGCAAGGAAAACAAATTATTTAATCTTTCCATGATCTACACTTTTATCTGTGTTATGCCAAGTAGAAAATAATCTCGGAATTTTTCGATGATTAAAAAATTTTTTTGATTCAAACATCAAAATACTAGCATGTAAAACGTCAATCGTTTGAATCTAATTCCTATTCCGACATTAGGTCAATGTTTATAAAATTACACGATCTTGATACATAAAATTTAGTAATCTGCAATTATACGAGTATATTTACAAAAACAGATAAAGGAAACCTAATTTCTTTTTTAATATTAAAAAGCGTGCGCAATTAATTTCGACATAATATTTCAGCAAAACAATAGCGATATGGCGAATCATCTTAGCGGCATATCTTTGCTATAGAAAGAGATTGTCCAATAATTAAGAAAAATTTTAATTGTATAATATTAGAAACATAAATGTACTTATAAAAATACGTAATTATTCATAAATTATAATGTATAAAGAAATATTTCAACATGAAGTTTTATACATTCAGCATAGTTAATTCAAAATTGTAGAGTCAAATGGTTTTCAGAATGCATATTAATCGATCTTTCAGAAATATTCGTCGAGCGTTTGAAAATAATCGAATAACATGTTCTTTGTTTCTTTTTAATATACTGTCAACATCATATTAATTATATTAATAATTCTTGAAAAAAAAAAATGAGTTATAAAATATTTACACCTCAAATTGGATTCGTATTTTTTTTGACAAATATTATTTAGAAATTTTACTCTGACAAAAACTATAGTATTATAACAAATTCTTTTAGTACAATTATTAACAAATTGTCATTAATTCATAATGTCATTATTGTGTTATATTTTCACAATTCGCTTATCAGAATAAATAACAAAAAATATTCTATAAATGTTCTCGTAAAATACAAATGTCCTTAAGTTTGGAATATTTGAATCGAATGTTCTGTAAATGTATATAGAATATTAAAAATTCATATAGTTTTACAAAAAGAACATTAACAATATTAAAACAATTATATAAGACTCTAACGAATATAAATTCAAATAGTAAGTGAACAAAGGCTGTTCAAGTCGCTGGGAGTCTTTTGTTAAATACAAACAATGTCAATATATATAAAATCATATGTTTCAACCTTAATTTAATATTGTCATGTTCTCAATATTAGATTTGTTGAGATTTGTTCTAAACAAAAAATTAAGTCAATTTATTATATCTTTATAATTTGAATGAAGTACATATTCATAGTAAGTTCCTCTGTATACATTTGATTGACATCCAACTTGATGTAAAATTAACCATTTAGCGATTGAGTCTCTTAGAATATTATTGTAATATTAATTCAAATTGTAATTCAGAAACAGTGTGATGTGAAGATAAGTGATACATAATATAAATTATGTAAAAGAAAACAAAAATTAGTTATTTCTACAACAAATACAATTTATGTTGGAATCCTTTTTCAACTATTCACTTAAACAATTGAGTTCTATGACATCGTTTCGAACAATTCATTCGAATTTAACCAACTTCAAACTTTTGTACTTTGGACTTTTCAGTCCAAAGTACAAAAGTGTGGCATGAGATCACGTAATATATGTTTGTATATCTGTTTCCATATTTTAAAGCAAATATAGCGAAGTATTCCTTAAAATAACATAACTTTCGGTAGCCGGTGCCAGTCATCGACCCAAAGTTAGCGCTATTCGACCTATCGCCAACTCTCTCTCTCTCTCTCTCTCTCCGATTGTGAGAGCAAAGGTCGAACTCACACCGGCGCACCTATCGGTATCTTGCTCGATGTACCGGTCTGACACATCCATCCATATCCAGTGTTAGGAAGAAAATTGAATCAGTTACTATGATTCTCTTTCGTAACTTCACGATACTTCCTAACGAATAATTCGCATCTTGAAGCCGATATAAATCATTCGCCATTGCCGTTCGCAATCTCGAACGTCCGTTTATTCCGGATTGTTACCCGAGATTGTTCAATTTTCCTACTTTTGATATTCGATCCCTCTCTCTCTCTCTCTCTCTCTCGCGTTTCACGTGACTCCTAAACGACATTTTGTTGTGAACGTCGATTCAGAAGAACGCAATTATCTCGTCGTTTAAGTAAAACTTGCCCGACATTGACCTAAACTCTTTCGACAGCTTCCACTGTAGAGTGAACACGTAATCACCTGTGCATTTGAAAGTGGAACTCGCGTTAGCGCGGGAGCAGCGCGCCAGGACGCCGAACAGTCTGCAGCTCGCCATCATTTCGGTCGATCAGGTCGGACGGGCACTCACTCTCATCGAGAGGAACGAAAATCCCAGAAAATCCACGAATCACGCACGGCACTGCGTGCAAAGACACTCCGTCGTATTGTGTTCTGTCGCCTTATCTGTGAACGCTGCCGTCACTTATGCGATGTATGTACACTACAGTATGTGAAACTTTATGAGTGGGGGGGGAGCAAGGGGAGGGGGAACATTCGAGATAGAATCGATTGAAAGCGAGGAATCGCAACTCTCGCAATTTTAATTCTATCCAATGTTGTCATGCCTATTTGAAAGTTGTCCGGGTTATTTAATTTTTTCAATGTTTCAGCCGTAATTTAGATATTTCTTTGTATTTTTCCCAAAAAGTCCCCTCAAAAGTTCTCTATAACTTTTTACACCTCCAAAAAATCTCTCAATGGAAATAAAAAAAACCTTCAAATTTAGAGAAAAATCTCTCAATCTCTGACGACAGTGACTCTACGTTTCGATTAAGTACGATAAATTATGCTGTATAATATAATTTTTCCTCGACTCTGCGAACAGAATAATAAATTTAAGTTGTTCTTTTTTAAATAAAATAAAAAAATTCATTTTATTTTACATTTTAGAAATAATAATGAGAGCTTTTTACAACACGAAAAAAAAAAAAAATTAAATTTTAATAGATATTTGTTTGAATTCTTCTAAGTAAATTTATTAATTAATTTTAATGAAAAGAAAGAAATCTTTTTAAACTGATTCTTTCATCGATCGAATATCTCGATATTCTCGAACGCACATTTATATGCTCACGCACATGCGTGGATTATCCGGCTCGCGCGGACTTTGTTCCTGAGTTATTAATCGACCAATGTCATTCATGTAGCTTGTATTAATATCGAATTAATATAGTATTCGTTTTATGATATTTGCAAATAAATGCTATAACAAGTGTTAATTGGAACGATAATTATAAATTGTACAATTATACTTTACATATAGAATTTATTTAACTTAAATTGATTTAACTTGAATTAATTAAACTGTTACTCCTTGTGATCTAACTGATTTGAATATTTATTGCATATCTCATGTGCGTTCCCTATTATGTAAGAGCTATGAATATCATTAAGGTCAGCCTTCTACGAAGATTTAGGTAACTGACGCTAAGAACTAGCTGCAATGTAAAATGAGATCGATATGCATAATATGTATATTTAATACTTTATTGTTATTAAATTATGTTGAATTTTGGTTGAAATTATAATTGTAAGATGATATTCATGTATAGTTATTTCTTATTTGAAAAGTTTAAAATATAATATAATATATAATATAATATACATACATATATGTACAATATAATATGATATAATATAACATTATAAAATAGAAAATTAAATAAAATATTATTAGAAAAATCACTAAAATAATAATTATATTAAAAATTATAATATTAAAAAATTAATTATTAATCATTATATTATAGATAAAAAAAATTGTATAGAAATGAGAAAAATATGTAATTTGCGATGTGCATATCGATGTACACTATTTTAAATAAAATTGTTTTCTATTATATCAAATATATTTATCTCATTATTCTATGCGCCATATAATGAGAGTTTACTATATTTCTTTACCTGATTATATTTTCTTGATAGATTATATTATGTTTTCAAGTGTTTAAATTTTTATATCTAATTCTTATATCTAAGGAACTCTTTAAATCGCAATTGTTATAGAATTTTAATTAATTTTGCCTTTTAATTGATTATTCTTTGATATTCGTCAATTTAAAAAAAATTGAATGTTTACAATGTCGTTAAATTTTTTAAATGTACTTGCCAATATATAACTTGTCGACCAATGGTAATCATTTTTGTCGATAATAAATTTCGGAAAGTATCTATAAATAATACTGGCGATATCGATAACTCACGATTATCGATTCTGTTGGAATTGCTGCGATCTCCATTCAATTTCATTATCGAATCGCCCATCTATATATACACCTATATGTATAGTTACGAACGTAAACAGCGATTCTGAACCACATGATAGCTCATCGCAAGCTCATCGCGATTATCCAATATCAAAGGTTTGTTTTCTGTTCCTACATGAAGATTGCACTAGAACTGAACGGAATTAAACTAGTGCAATCCAGAACCGACGAGAGTAAATGTGCAGGTAAGGAATAAAAAATGTTTTAGCGCAAGATAAAAATGGCGTTCCATATTGTTTACATGGAAGCATTAGATTTGTGTGATGAAAATAAATGCAATTCCATTAAAAAGAACTCTTAATTAAAGATAATGATGACACAAAATGTTTTTATATGTAGGCTTGCTATTATTTATATATATTTATTATTTTATTATTCAAAAATTTTCGGATAATTATTTAGAAGATGCCCCTCACGTTCAATTTTAATAAAATTATACTCGTTTGTCGTATTTTTGCATGAAACGAAAGAATCTGTAAAATGTCATGCCTAGGTCCGCAAACCGATATATTAAGTGTTAAAGTTGACGACATTGTGGTTAGGAAACCTGTCACACCGACTTAATGCAGCGCTTAATGTATGTATTTTAGTCTGTATTTATTTAGAATCGTTACTTCACCTCTGATTTTAATAAAATTAGGCTCATTCGATGCATTTTTATTCAAAACGAAAGCTCGCTCTGTTCTTGCTATGTGCGAAAACCCCTAAACTATGAAAGGAAGACGATTTGAATATTAAAATAAACATACATTAATATATCGCTGTAGAAGCAAGTTAGTAACAAACACAAGAAAACGTTTTAGTGTACACTTTTTGAACTAGTGCAACCAGTGCAGGAACAGAAAACAAATCTCAAATTATATACACGAGTGCAAGCCACTGCAAGCGGGAGTTACCCACCCATTAGCTGGTTTATCGCGTCATGCGTGTTGTCGATTACGGGAGGCAGTTATCGTGTAAAAGTGCGTAATCCGCGTTCGGTTATTAATAAATGACGGTGAACTCTGGTAGAAATTACTGTGACAGCAACTTTTGCTCCTCATTTAGGCGTGAATGTCTACTTACGTCGGCCTAAAAAATTCTGCTCCACGTTTATTTATACTTGCATAATCAAGATGAATTAATTTACTTATAAAAGTCTTATGTGTCTTCGACAGGTAAAATAAACATGAGCAAGGATCATCTTACATCCAAGACTGTATTGTCTTTGTGGTAAAGCATCTGTCCTTGCCTTTTTATTATCATAGTCGATTACGAGGTAAGCAGAGAATTTAAGACAGATTGTATCTATAAATGAAAAGTGCTGATGTTTGCTGCCAGCAGGCATGTCTGAGAATACTCACAACAAGGAGCAATGGCAGCTTCTCCACAGTCTTCGATCTACTGTAGAGGGTCTGCTGATCGATGGAGTGTCCAATGTGTGGAATGTTTATGGTGGTCTGAATCGGCTGCACAGTATAATGGAACAGATATTCAAGCATGGCTGTCGCATATTCGATCCTAATGTTAGTTGAGTTTATCACTCCCAGAGTTCCTTTATTGAAGATATCTTTAAATTTCTAATTATTATGATGTGTGATAATATGTTACAATTATACTGTGGACTACAAAAAACTTTTTTCAAAATTAACTGGAATCAAAGTAGGTATTTCTTATAGATTTTGGGTCATCGAATCCGAATTTGTAAATTATTTTGTTTTATCACATCCGATTTTTTTATATAATTGAGAAAAACAATGGAAAATTGTAGAGAGTCAAATTGTTATATGTGCTAAAAAATTTAGGATGCTTAATAAATTATAAAATTTGTCTATATTTTTATATATTGATGTTTTATATATTAACATATATACACATTATCTGGACATTATCGCAACTAGTTTCTCCTGATAAAGGAGAAAGCTCTATTATCCGAACCATTCGGTTATCGGAATGCCTTGTCCCTCGACATGTTCACATAAGCAGAATTCTACTATATGTGAAAACATTTTTCATATGAATATACAAATCTTACATTGTGAATAAATTTTATAAGGGTGAGCCGGATTGTTGGATATTCATTCAAGGACTGAATTGGCTTCAACCATCTTTAGCGACCTCACCAATATTGTCAGAAAACGAAGATTATTTATGCAATCTACCAGCTAGGATAACATCCAAGAAGGATATGTTATGGCTATACAAAAGGTAATTTTCTCTTTCTTTATTATATATAATAAATTTTATATATACATATATGCCATATTTTTTAATGAGTCCATATCTAAAAAAAATCTGAATACTAATTTACAGTTTAGAGGGTCATTCCTTATCACATAAATTATCGTGGCTGCTATCAGATAAGGAACATTTGCTTTCTTGTTTGGAACCATGGGCATTCCTTTGCCAAGAGAATTTGGCAGAGGCAACGCTTTTGTATCTAAGAGCAGTTGAGAGAAATCAACCTGTATTGCTCGCAGAAATCGATCCTTGCTTAGTAAGTAACACTTTAAAGTTATTTTCTCATTTTGTGTAATGCACATTTTATGTAAATGCAGTATAATTATTTTATACTAATTTTCATTTGATCTCTGCATTAAAATGAAAATTAAACAAAATTTGAATCTTAAACAATATTAAGTAAAAATGGACTGACGAGATTAAATGAATGAAAAATGTCATATTTGATCAAGGTTTTCGTGATAATAATATTTGTGAATTTATACAATTTCCAGTTCAAGCTAATTGTGTACCGATAATCGGCATTTTTTATTCACACATGTAATTTTTAAAACTGAAATAAAAATTCTTAGGATTTTGGAATTAAAACATTTACTTTATTTAAATATTTGATGATATTATACATTATGGGTTTTATTAGATCATTTTTTTCACTTTTATATTTTAATTTGCAGTTTTTACCAACATGGATATCTCCTAAAACGAGCCCCAGACGTCATCGTCGTTCATCCTCGTATCCGGCAAATTTTTCTGGCGTCAATCACATTTTCGCGCGAGATAAGTACATGAGTGTCCTCACCAGATGTCAATTGGACAAACAAAATATTTCACAGTCTGTTTTATGTGACACGGATAGCGCTGAAAATCAAATGTCAAAATCCGTACAAGTTATTACTGACAATGACGCACAAAGGGATTCCAAGGTCGATGATGCACCTTTGAAAACGTGGAACAGTTTGCCTGCTTTGGCCAAGAGCCATAGTAGTGCAATTATGGAAAGTTCAGCCCCAAACTCGCCGACAATTCAAGAAAGCAACAATAGCAATAACCGAACTCGTACCATTGAATTGGCGGAGATCATCAATGTCAATTACTCGGATTCGAAACAGCCCATTGATTCTAACATAGACAAGCTAACGAAACCGAAAACGCCTATCAGGAAAATGAGAAATCGAACGAAGGCTAAACACAGTCAAAGTAAAAAGGCTTTCGAAAAATCAGAGGTTTCTTCAAGCGTACATGAAAAGGTCAGAGACATGGTTGAGGAGTCACGGCCAATCACAATCACAGAATCGATGGAGACGAAGATGCTGCACCAATGGATGACACGGAAAAAGACATCCTTCTTAGTAGGTTCAGCACCCGAGTTTACGGGTTCCTGGAGCTTGGAAGTAGAAGGTCAGAAAGACATTCGTACGCCACGGAAAAGTTTTATGGAGGACGGCGGCAGTAGCGTGCAGCCAATGGCGACCGGTTATTTCCCACGTCCAGCTGAAGGTCAGAGTTTGACTAGCTTCCTGTCTTCGGCACGATTTTCACGCGCTCACGATGCCGAATTGGACCGCGAAAATGCGCATTTCAGCGTTTGCGAAGCGATGATTGCCGCCATTGAGCAAGTCAAGTGCAACCGATTGCAGCGGCGTTTGCTGGATGACGTAGCCGACGATGAGAGCGACGAGGAGATCAACCGGTTGAAACAACGAATCCGGTTGCGACGTCGGCAGCGCCAGGAAGAGAAGTGCCAAGGCAGACGTTGGAGTCGCGGTGACCTGCTGAGCGATGGCAGGACCGACACGACCACGACCACCGATCAGAGCGTCAGTCCGTTGTCCACGTCTTCGAGTAACTCCTCGGATAGCGTGCCTACGGAGGATTCCGAATTGGACGACGAGCAGAGGTTGAAGAACGGTGGTATGTCCGCGTCGACCGCGTCGTTGTTCTCGGACGCAGAATCACGTGCGGCAAGATTTACGGATTCCAGTTTGAACGAGAGTAGCGTGTCCGCTGAAGGGGTAGCTCTATCTCTTATTAGTCGCTTCAGTGAGAAACAGCTGCCAAGGGCGAGTGAGCTGCAATGGTTGGTTTCGGAGAAGGATGCACCACAACGCTTATTGCCGATGCCGAAAAGCTGGCCGGTTAGTCCTGACGAAATTGAGATTGAAGATGCGCGGACTATCCCGCTGAGAGGGACAATTGAATGGGCTCCGCCGCGCCCGCAGATCATTTTCACGCCTCATCCACCACCGGTGTAAGTGCAAAGAGAAAAGAATAATATAGTAATTTATATATATTTTTTTATGAGTGTCATGCTTTAGTGCCTTTTTATTCTTATTCTTAGACATCCCATCACTAACAATGAGAATATTGTTGCATCGTTATAAATATCAATATTTCTGCAAATAATATCTTTAAAGCGTTTTATAAACAATAATGTAATCGACATTGGATTTCATTGTGTAGATATTTACTCGTCTTTCTTTTACTAAGTAAACATTTATTCTTTCTCCTTATAGGCACTTCATCTAATAATTTTTCTACTTAGTCAGTGTTTTGATTGTTTTTCTTTTAGAAGACGGACGCTAATAGCCAAGCAGAATTATAGATGTGCAGGTTGCGGTATGAAGGTCGCTGTGAAATATGCCAATCGGTTTCGATACTGCGAGTACCTGGGTCGATACTTTTGTACGGGGTGTCATACAAATCAGGTGGCATTTATACCAGGGAAAATTCTATCGAAATGGGATTTCAACCGGTAAGATTTCTTTAAAAATGGTTCGCCAAAGGTAAATAAAATATTTTGATTCTTTCTTTAATGTCTCTTGATGCTTGGCAGATATCCCGTATCGAATTTCTCATATCGATTACTGGATCAAATGATGTCGGACCCGTTGTTTCAAGTGAACGACTTAAATCCATTACTATATAGACGAATGAAGCAATTAGACAAAACGAGACTTTTGCGCACAAAGTTATTCTTTTTGAAGGATTTCTTATTCGCGTGCCGATTCGCGACCAGGTGAATCTCAATAAATCTTTTTTGCAATATCATGTTATGAAATAAATATGATAGTTTGATGATCCGTTTTTCTGATATTATAGCCTTCAAGATGTGCTGAAGAAGGAACCAAATTACATCATAAACGATCCGCATGTGTACTCGATTCAAGATTTAATAAACGTCAAGCTCGGTGTGCTGTTCGTCAGACTGCAGGAGCTCGTTCAAATTTGTTGCGCTCATATTGTAGATTGCGAGGTATCGCGATTAATTGATTGAATAATCCACAAAAATTACTTTTTATTTTAATCTTCAATTTAACTCAGGATTTAATTCTCTAAATAATTACAAATAATTACAATTATATACTTTATTCTACAAATAATTATTGAAAAAGCTTATTGGATTCTTTTAAATTTTACTTAATATTTTTAACAGCAGAATACGTGCGTTATATTTAATAAGTCGAATAAGATTTTGAAGTTTTTCTTATTCTGCATCGATCGTTCATCTTTAGATATCGAATGTTTTAATTGTTAACGCAAAATTATACTAATTATGTATTCTCTTTCAGTTGTGCCAAGCTAGAGGATTCGTCTGTGAGCTATGTTGTTCTAAGGACGTGATATTTCCGTGGGATCTGTCAAAAGTAATACGATGTGAAAAATGCGGCGCTTGCTTTCACATCGATTGCAAACACGGTTCTGACAAGGTCGAGTGTCCTCGATGCGTGAGATTGCATGCCAGACGAATTTCAAGGGATGAGAAGCCCTGACGAATGACAAGGGCGTACTTTGTCACGCTATTCGGAATAGGATATATATATTAAGCACGATAAGCCATTTGAGTTGATTCAAGTCTAGAAGATATCTTATAAGACTTATTTTGGACAATAAAACATCCTAAAGAGACATTTAAGTTTTATAAGTATTTTTTGGACTTTTGATTATTTGGGATATTAATAATTTATAAAACATACTAACAACAACATACTCAAGATATTAATTAAAATTTCTTGAATACCTCAAATGCAGTATTTGGACGATTTTTTAGATATTAATGTAAAAGTCAATTCATTCGAATATAATTATGACTTCTGACATATTCGACGCAGGCCGCAAAAATAGTTAAAGGACGTTAAATTATAAAGTAAATTAGATAAAATATATACTAGGAGTAGGATTCCATAGTAAAAAAGTTCAGATTTTCTTTGGTTCTCTATTCTCTACTCATGCAACTAAAAATACTATTTGTGCCTCAGTCTCGAGAAAAGAATATTGAATGTGTGAACGAGACGTACATTATAGCGAAGACTGAAGCGTTGTGATATATACGTGTTGAATTTTGATTTTCTTTGGAATAAGCTGCATAATGCAAATGTCTACAGACATTTTTAGATATTATTTAGAGATGTATCAATTTATGAAAAAAAAATCTTAGAAGACATAAATCGGATGATTTATTGAAAAATATAAACATAGTTTACCAAGCAAATTAAGAAGATATACTGTACTTTATAAACTGTTACAGAGAAAGTAAACTTCTTAAAAAGTAATATAATAAATAAATAATAAAAGAGAGAGACAGAGAGAAAGAGAGAAAGAGAAATATATATAATAATTTTGTTCAAATAGTCTATTGGATTGTTTGAGAAATTCGTATGAGTTTTTAGTTCAAATGAAACAATTTAGAATATTGAATGAAAACTTTATATCAAGAAAATATTTCGTTTTGCACTACTTTAACCTATGTTTTAGGCAACTGTAGAATTCCGTCTGAGAAGAGCTTGGTTGGTTTGAAAACAAAGAAGTCATTAACACAATTTTTTACTGTTTGCAAATGCAATTTTCTTCAAATAATCAAGAATTTAGCATTATTTTAGTAAAACATAACACCCGTTTTTTTGTTTATTAGTTATGATTGCTTGTGTTGGATGTTTCGGTTTAAATTGTTTAACTGGCTGTAATATATATTAGTAATTTGGAAGCAGTTCAAGGTCTTCTAGAATCTTTTGCGTCTTTAAAATAAAAATTACTCGCTTCAAATCACTTCTGAACGTAAAGGAATATATAGCGTAATTTCCATAGATTTTGTAAATTTTTTCCATTGTTTGCAGTAGTAGAAAAATGCACATATCAAAAATGTACCTTTCATTCTCCGTCTTCACAACTTATTACCAGTAACACGCACAAACTCAACTGATTCTCAATTAAACTTTAAAAATAACATCCATCTTCGAAGGATGAAGAATGTCTAGTTGGTGCTAATATATAGGATATAATCTCAGTGAGATTATTTATTAAATTATACGTTAAAATGTTACTTTTTATACGATATATAAATGTCATCTACTTTCAATCACTTTAACAACTTACGCAACATTTTATAAAGACATTTGTTGAAACTCATACGAACTTTTCGGAACTTAATTTGTACACTCATATAGTTATTCTTTTTAGGTTCTGATAGATTTAGAGATTTCAACAATATTTATTTGAAAGCATAGCGAGTATGAACAAAAAGTATTATTTTTTTGCAATTACTTTGTAAATGGCAATAAGCTTCTTAAGTCAATAGTAATTTTAAAGTTGCAGATATTATCGATTAATACAAATAATATAAAGTTTTTGTAAAAACTAAATAGTAGTAGTAATAAGTGCGTACCTGATTTTTACTAAATTTAAAGTATGTATATTTGTTTATTTATGGAAAGCTTTTTTTAAAAAGCGCGCAATGTATAACAGTAAATAATTTTCACAAAGAAATTTTGACGTTTCTATTACATTCTCTATTGCGACATAACTCTTATTATAATTCTTGATATAACAATTATTAACGAAACATTTATAAAAAAATGTAAAACATGTAAATAAAGTCATGAAATTCAAATTATGATTTATAGAAAAAAGTTACAATTTACTTTTAGAATAGAGATTGATTGCAAATGTCGATCTCTAAAGTGTATAGGGTAGTTTTGATAATCGTCTTATTTGAATGAATTAAGAATTAATTGATAATAAAAGATAAAATTTCATTTTCTTGATTAATATTTGTTCTGGTAAAATAATGCATAATGAACTAACAAGTATATTTTTATAATTTTATTAAATTACATCTCATTTATAGTATATACCACACATTTTATTTCAGCATAATAAACATTAATTTATTGATAGTAAAAAAATATATTATATATACAACTGGCTTAATTTAGACCAAAATTATAATCGCGCATGTATGTATCTTTTATATATATATATATATATCTATATTTGTTACATAAATTTATTTTAATTTTGTCCTAATTAATCTTGGATACAATATGTATACAGATGAAAATCTGTGATTGATTATATATGTACAGTATGTAACTTTTACCTAGATATTCGCTTTTTTTGAGGTAACTAGGAAATCTAACGAAAGTTAATTCTGAAGTTGCGCATTACATTATTTTATATTTTTGCTTAAGAATAATCGTATAAATACTGAGTAATTACTACTATGTATTTTATACTGGGTAGCCATAAAATTCCTGTTTCATTTTGTATAATTAGCCATTATTGTCAAATGTGCTATACATATCAATATTCACTACTAAATATTTGATATTTTTATCAAGAAATACAAAGGATGTCACACACAGAACTTGATTATGAAAATAATTGAAAACGTATATCTATCAGATAATTAATTATATATGTATATATTCTTAGTTTTCTAAGTATTTTATTTTATTTTTTATACTAAAAGATTTTTATGTTATTTTTTAATGATTTTGTATTTCTTCACATTCAAAATATAAATAATATTAATTATACAAACAGATTATATTATACGAGTGTCAAATAAGTATCTCCCTGTCGAAGTAAGAATGCGATAGGTTCATTTTAGACGCTAAATAAAGCGTTTAAATTACGGACATATTTCATTCTTTACATCGGCCATTCAACTTTACATTAGAAGATTTCGTGGCCACCCTGCATTTGGAAAGAGAAAAATGCACGACGTACGCGTATTCATTTCGATTTTGGGACATTATGATCGAATGTTGATATCACAGATTTTTTTCGATTTCTATTGATATTTACCTGAATGTTTTTTCGTTCGGAAAAGAGAACTACTGTCACCTCTATTATATAAATTTCGAAACATCGGAACTGCGATTCTTTTCCGAATTTATTACACTTATTGTTTTGGCACACAAGAATATATAAATCTTAACATTTTCTCTTTCTTTAATCCTTAAAGTAGCGAACGGTAGGTGTATTATAATAAATTAATAATAAGCTTAAATGAGTATCGATTAATTTTTTTCCCTATGACGGAAAAGAATTTTTTCACTTTTCACAATTTTGGCTTAAGGAAAAAAATTATATAATCGGTATCCTTATTTTAGATATATCTTGTACAAACCAAATTTGGCAATAGAAACGCCTGATATTTGCCACACAAATTTAGTAATTATGAGTTTGACAGAAAAGAGATCTTACTTCGCTAAATATACAAAACAGGAGAGTTTAAATCTAAAACAAATTGCCATAATGTATAAATACACCTAAATTAGATCGCTAGATGTCAGACTCAGAATACTCTATCCTCCATTGAATCTTCACATTATCCGATTATCTGCGATAAATATTTCGTTTTCATTCATGACTGTAATAGAAATCAGAGTTTCTTATCCAACAACATAAGCTTCATTCAGTCCACGTACAGTCAGGCTTCCACTGCATTTCTCTATCGGATATGAGTTAGTTTTTCTACGTTCTTCTTCTTGTACTTCAATTTTCAATCATATTTCAATGATTACATTGTCAACATTGAAATGTGTGAAGACTGGAGCGAAAAGATAAGAAAAGCTAGTTTGATCCTGACAAGAAATTTGGAAATCTAACTGTAAATACAACAATGATATATAACAACGCGCCACACTCTTTATATGACAATATCTTCAGTGAGAGTTATCACACTCGTCATTCGCTTGCGCATAATCATGTTCACATTATCAATCAACGATTGACAATATGATTTTAAAATATTATCGTGAAAGACATCGAAAAGTGAAAATTAATTACAAGGAGACAGGCTGAAAAGCAACGCATACGTTTAACTATTCTAAGGAACGAGATGAAGGACAGTATTATACTGTATTTATTATTTTTAATAAAT